CAGAGACTTTCCTTAAGTGGGAAATTGCGCTTTTGTGGGCAAAAGTGGTCAGTGCTCCCAGACACAGCTGCACTGCACTGAAAAAAATTTTGCCTGACCATGTGAAGTAAAGTCCAGAGAGCCTGAGGTGATAGCTCAGAGGTGGGAGCTTTCTTCTGGTGATGGCTTAGAAGCTGCAGAGGAAGGAGAAGGAAATGATAGCAGGGGTCACTGTGCTTGCAGGCAGCTGCATTTTTCTCACCAGAGGTACCTGGAATGAGGTGAGAAACTTTAACCTAATTGTGAAGTCAGGAAGGAAGGAAGAAGGAGCTCGTTCTAGCAAGCATTTTGCAGGGATTACCCTTAGTGGGAATGCTATTTCAAGGGATACAGTTACCACTGGCCACAGAAGGGCTCAGCTGCTGTTGGGGGGCTCAGAAAACATGGAGCTGTGTGTACTGTGGGTGTTTAATCTGTGCCCTCTGCCCTGCCTGCCCAGCATCCATCTCTGCATCACGCAGCTGCACACCAAGCCCGGCGTTGCTGAGCACTTCCTGAAGGATGTCAGGGACAGCATCCAGGACATCATGAAGGACCTCAATGCCAAGACCACGGGCATGGTGAGGAGGCCAGCACACAGTGAGGGAGTGTTTGGGCTGAGGGTGTTTCTCCTGTGTAACAGCCTCTCTTCTCTGCTTAGGGAGCCATCTACGGAATGGCGCAGTCCGTCCCAGACAGGAGCCTGGTGGCAGAGATTTCCCAGGCCTACCTGGATGGCCTCTACAGCACGGATGTTCTCAGCAGTGAAAAGCACATGAACGGCTCTCCCAGCCACCACTGACTGTAGTGCAACAGTCTGTGCCTTGCCAGCCAGCACTGGGGTGGTTCCAAAGGTTTCCTAGGGAAAGAGATTGCAGTTCCTTTGTTCCTACAATTGCAGGTTTGAGGGTGGCTTGATCTGGAAGAATTCCTTCCCTGTCTTAGTCTGTTCTGAAATCTGCATTGTTTTCATGCCCAATTTCAGTTTTAGGGCTTTTCCTCCCTTCCCCCTGCCTGTTTTCATCATGGCTGTTGATGGTGAATTGAATGTCCATTCCACAGCTCCGAATTCCTCAGGTACTCTGCATGTCCCTTCATTCCATGTTGTTTCTCCTTCTCAGACCTGATATTCAGCCAGTGTCCAGCCAAGTGTTAAATTTGAGTTCTCACATTGTGCCCCATGGCTCAAATCTTCCTGGAAGCTAATGGCAGACAGTAAATTGGAAATTCTGTTTTCTCTTCAGTATTGCTGTAAGCTGCTGCATTTAACAGACTGTGCTGGGAGCCTTATATCTGTGTAATGCAGAGCTGATAAATTGGCAGAGGGAAGGTAGTCCTGGCCTCCCTTTGAAATCTCAGTGAGACTGCAATCAATATCTGCTGAGGGGGAGAAAAAAACAACACAAAATCCTTTTCTGGAATCTCTTGAAGAACAGCAGAAACAGAAACCAAGCAGGGTGGCATAGGGAGAGGAACTTGGAAGGTACGGAAAACCCCGGGTACATCGTGGCTGTTCTGCTCCCCTGCCTCTTGCAGAAGACATGCATTGACCACCCAGGAGTGCTGTGTTCCCTTGCACAAATCTGAAGAGAGGTGCAAAGCTCATTTCACTGTTCAGAACTTGAAGGTTTTACACTGTCCCCTCACGATGCTGTAGCAGAGCCAGCCAGGCCCTGGCCCGTGTCACAGCCAGGGACGTCGTGCGCAGATGGTTTTTTTTTTACCACGGTCTTTTAGTATCAAAAAGGTGACTTTTGTAATAGCAGTAATCTCAGCTCTTTGCACTGATTCTTTTAAGGCACATTCTCAAAAGGGCATTCACCATTGTGCCTTGATGCTTCTCTGGCTTTTTTTTTTGTGGCATGCCAGGGAGGGTTGGAGGGTTCAGCTGTCTGACCACGACCTTGGTTGTGGTCATTTCTTTATGGTACTAATTCTGAAAACAAACCTCAAAGGCAGGCTGGCCTCAGAGGAAGCACCCTTGCCTGTTAGGTAGGATAGTAGTTGTAATGAGCCAAGTCCCTTCACAGTATTACAAAGATGCTGGGAGAAGCAGAGGAAAGGATGCAGCAAGCTGGAGCTGTTCCAGCCTTGGGCACGTGGCTCAGCCTTCCTATTTTTCCCCGCTGTTTTTAGGGTGAGAGAGTTTTCCCAGCACAGCCTTGTGGTCTCAAGGACAAGCCAGAATCTCTCAAGTAGCCTTGGAGTTACTCCTGCAGGGCTTTCCCATGTTTCCTCTCAGCTTTGCATGGAGCAGAGTTTCCCAGGCAGAATCCCACACGTGGGTGAGGACTTCATGCCGTGTCTGCACAGTTCTGTGCAGGGCATCTGAAGGCATCTCTCTGCTCCAGCCTGTTAGGCTGAAGCTGACCCTGGCTGAAGCACAGGAATTTTAAGGAATGAGAAGGTCACTGACCAGCTCCTGCACTAACCAGCCCAGCCACTGTGGGAAGGATCCTGGCTTTCCAACAGCTTTATTCCCTGTGCTAGGAGACACAAGCATTTTGGCCATCTGCCCTGAGCTTGATGACTTCATGCAAGTCTCTGAGCCCTTTCGAAATCATTGAATTGCCTGAGAGTCCCTTGATGGTGATACCAGCTCTGGCAGTTTGTATTGGACCTATTTATTCCCTAAGGTCTTGCCAGTGTGACCATTACTGTATCTCTGAGTTTGGAGACAGTCTTCAGTGTCTGGCTACTGTGATGGTTCTCTTTGGAACCGAGATTTAACAAAACACACAAAAAAAAGGGAGGTACTCTTTTTGTTTCTGCTTTAAAAGAAAGAAGGGGTGTATTGGGGTGGGCTGAAGGAGAGTGAAACTCCCTTCTCTTCCTTCCCTGGTTGCATTTTCCTCCCAGGAAGTAGGTGGATCTAACAGATCAGTGCTCCATTTCACATTTTTTGGATGTATTTGAAGATGTTATTTGTAAGTCAATGTATTCTATTCTGGGCTTTGCTTATTAATATTATTTGTGGGTTTAATTGTTCCATGTGTATTTGTCCCATACTGTAAATGTAATCCTGTGGTCGGGAGTAGGCCACTGTAATTCCCTGGTGTGTAGTTTTTATTCATCCTTGTCACCTAACATGTAATCTGCATCTACTTTATCATGCCAAATGGTCCTGGAAAAATGGATTTACAGGCTGTGTGATTGTTTTAAAGACAACAAAAAGAAGAATTTGATGAACTGGATTATGATCTGAAACTGGACGGTACTTTTAGACCTGGAGGGATCCTTGCCACTGTTAATTCCTGCAGGATTTTCTGGTTTTCCAAGCAGGACACTCACTTTGTTGCTTGTACAAAGCACTCCCAAGGGATTCACCTGTTTTTAGGTACTAGAATGAAGAATATCCAATGGGATGGACCAAGAAGAGATGTGTGTCTTCATGCCATGGATTTCATCTGCACTTTTCTGATGACTTGGGGGAGAGGGGAGCAGAAGGGTTGCCTACAATACAATAATACCTTGCCCAAGGACTTTTTAATGGACAAGTGGGATGAGTTGATCTGATGGCAGTTTTCTGCTTTGCTCTGATTTGCCCCTGGTCGAACTGGAGGCTGAAATAGCTGGAGAGATGGTGAAAATGGGCCTGGTTTGTATTAAAATGGTGCATTTAGCTATCTAGGCTCACTGAGCTCTTATTTTTCTGCTTCAGTGCTTGTTTGAATGAATGTGGACCTGTTGTTCCTGGAATTTGCTCATGCACAGCCTGGTCTGTGGCAGGGAGGTTGGTTTATGAATCTCACTAACTCTGCCTGAGGGCTGCTCTGTCCTTCTGTCAAAATGAAGGTGGTGCCTGTGTCTGCATCTTGTGTGTGATGTCAAGGATGCTGGAAGTTAAGAGCTACGGATTTTCTATTAATACTTTGTAGAACTTTAAAGGGTTAAAAAAAAGAGAAGCAAAAAAGACTTGAACTGGGTGTTTGTAGTGTTTTTCCCCAGACTGTTGTGCTGAAAGCAAATGCTGTTGGTTTCACATGATCAGTTCATTGTATCAGTGAAGATCCTGCACCACCAAATCCACCCACAACCTTTTTGGGAAGTGTGCCACCCTAAGCAGCCCTTGCCCTGGTGCCATGCTGCTTTTGTGCCTTTTGATTGTCCTTTCCCTGCCTTTGTGCCTTGGCTGTGGCACAGCTGTGATTTTACACAAGCAGTTTTTATCTGCCCTGGCTTTGATCCTCTCTTAGTCTTTCAGACCCCAGTCACTCTGAGGTGAAGGCACCTGTGAAGTTTTCTGTGTGAAGTTTTCTTTGTGGCTGCAGCACCTTCTTGAGAGCAGTCAGGGCAATACCTGCCTTTGGGGAAACCTGTTGGTGTCATTTGGTGAGTGAGGCCTCTTTGCAAAGAGCCATCAGGTTAAATGAGATGTTTATTGTAAACATTTTCAGTTGGTATCCTGCGAAAGGCTGGGGTGAGACCACATGCCTGATGTAATACTGCTGGAGAGGGGTTACAGCAGTGCCAAACTGCACAGCACCTTGCTGCTTGGGTACAGAGAAGCCAGAGGGGTCACAAAACAGGTTTTAGGCAGAAAGCACATTCCAGGAGGTAAGGAGCAACAACAGGGGCAGGATGGGGGCAGGCTCTGGACAGATTTACTGGTGCAGTGGTGTAACTTGGCTCTGGAAGGACATCAGCCTGTTGGAGCGAGACCAGGGGAGGTACCAGAATGATCAGAGGGATGGAGCACCTCTGCTATGAGGAAAGGCTGAGAGAATTGGGATTGTTCAGCCCAGAGAACAGAGGCTTTGGGTTGACCTCATTGCAGCCTTCCAGTGCCTGAAGGAACTGATGAGAAACATGACTTTTTACAAGAGCGTGTAGTAACAGGACAAGGGGGAATGGATTCACACAGAATAGGTTTAGATGGGATATTGGAAAGAAATTCCCTGTGAGGGTGGGCAGGCCCTGGCACAGGGTGCCCAGAGCAGCTGTGGCTGCCCCTGGATCCCTGGCAGTGCCCAAGGCCAGGCTGGATGGAGCTTAGAGCAGCCTGGGATAGGGGAAGGTGTCCCTGACATGGCAGGGGCTGGAACAAGGTGATGTTTAAGGTCCCTTCCAACACCAACCATCCCATGACTGTGATACGACTGACTCCTGGTAAGAGGCTCAGCAGCTGGGGGTGTGGGATCACATGGCTAAGGGTTTAAGGGTGGAATCTGCAAGATCAGAGATGGACACATGCACCCTGAGAAGTGCCTCCATCCATCCGAGCTGCGCCGGCAGGGCTGGCGAGGTGTCAGGGCTGTCTGGAACCAGGACCTAGCTTGGAAGTGGGAAGAGGCTCTGGGTGCAGCCATCGTGGCAGGACACAGTGGCACAGTGGGGTTTTGGCTGCGTGGATCCCTGCTCAGGAGAGGGAAGCTGCCACCTGCTCGATGAAGCTGGCCAGGTTGATGTCTCGCTCCGACAAACCCCCGCAGTCGTGGGTGCTCAAGGTGATGTGAACCTGAGGCAGACAGACAGACCCAGAGTTGCTGACAGAAACAGCAGGGCTGTTCTCAGTGATACATCTAATGAGACAGTAGCTACAAACTTGTTAGCAAAATTCCCTGGGGTGGCAGAGGCACTCAGGCACTTTGCCTGCTTTTTCTCCTTCCTGCAGCTCATGCTGGCCACAAGCTGTCACTGCCACCCCTGCCTTGGTCACAGCAGCCACCTGTGCCCATTTTCAACTCACTCTTTTCCCCAGAAGCTTTTCCTGTGGCTGTTACTTGATACAGATTTTAAAAAGCAATGCTGGTGCCAGCCTTTGTCAGCTACTGCTCAACTGGACAGGATAAAAGGAGGAGGAAAGGTTCTGTGGGAGCTGTAGGCTGGCTGTGATACGGGAACAGCATCTGAGGGAAGAGGTCCTGCTGGTGAGAACAGCACTTGCTGCTCCTGTTTTATCCCTCAGAAAAGGGAGCTGCTCCCTGAAGTGCTCTGCTTTGTCCCCACCATCCTGTTTCTTACCTTATTGTACACATTGAACCACTCAGGATGGTGATCCAGTTTTTCTGCCTGTAGAGCCACTCTGGTCATGAAGCCAAAGGCCTGCAGGGTAAGAAGAAAAGTTAACTCATTTACCCTGCAACATATTGGTTTTCACACCCATTACTATTAATTTTACACTGCCTGTGTCTACATAACCCAACCAAATGCAAGACCTGGGCTATTCTGGGAGTTTTCTGTGGGTTTTCCTCTTCCTGAGGAGTGTTTCCCAGGCAAACTCTGTGCTGGGTTGAGCCCTCTGGTGTCTTGGGGAGGTTACTTTGCTCAGCCATTCCATTTCAGGAGAGACACAGAGGGCTTTCTTTGGCTGAGCTTTGCAGAGGGGACTCCCTGCTCTGCAAGCTGGGTGTCCCAGTCTGCAGAACTCCGTGCCCCTGGTGCTCGTACCCGGTTGAAGTCCTTGAAGTGGAATTCTTTGAAGATGGCGTCTCTGCCTTCCACCTCGTTCCACCCCACGGCTCTCAGGTTTGGCAGCAGCTGCTCCCTCTCCTCCGTGCTCAGCCTGTGGGCTTTGCCTGCCTGGAAAGGGAAGGAAGGGCAAGAGGAGCAGGTCAGTGTGGCAGAAGTGGGATGAAGCAGGTGTTGAGAGCAATGAGGCATCCCATGGGTTAAGGAGTTGTAGCTGCAGAGTGGGTGGGAGGTTGGAATATCAATGTCCTCTGCTCCCTGCCTGGAATACATCCTGCATGGACCAAGGAAGTCCGGCTGGACCCTTCTGTCCTCTCACCTGCAACACCTCCCACAGTGCCTGAGGTACCTGTGTGAAGTTAAACTCCAAAATACATTCTCTTTTACACATAATCTTCTGGGGAAAAAAAAATACAAACCAACAACTTAAAAAGCAGAAGTTCTTGTGATCGTTTCTAGATCTGAGAGTTGTTTTAAGGTTCCTGAAGCAGCAGGGCTTATTTATTTATTTATTTGTTTATTTATTCATTTATTGGGAGCCTGCTTTTGAGGAGAAAGAAGTGGTGTGGATCAGAGATGAGTCACACTAAGCTGCAGTTCAGCTCCTTTTTCCCCCTCTCCTTTATATTACAATGGATTTTAAGAGGCTGTTTCTGCCTGTGAGGAACAAAGGGCAGAGGGAGGGATTGTGGTTGAGCTCTGCCTTGGGCAGAGCTGCTGGTACTTAGTTTTTAAGGGGTGGTAGTGGGGAAGCAGCAGTTCTTGGCTTTGAGGAGTGTTTATAGGCAGAGATGAAACTAAAATGAAGCTCTTGGGGATGGGGGCTGCCTGAGCCAGCTCTGCTCTGGCTCGGTGGGGAAAGGGCAAAGGGGCACTGCTCTCTGAAATGTTATGTTCTGGCAATTAAAATTCTTTCACAGAATCACAGATTGTTCTGAGCTGGAAGGGACCCACAAAGATCATCAGACTCCAGCTCCTGGCAGGATAGCCCCAAGAATCTCACCATGTGCCTGAGACCATTATCCAAACACCCCTTGAGCTCTGGCAGGTTTGGGTGAGTTGATCTTTCCAGCTGGTGATGATAAAGAGCTCCTTGCAATTTATTTTCCTTTATGTGCTGTAGAACCAAGTGTGGCAAGTTGGATATGAGTCTTGACAAATCTGGCCTAGTTTTTTTGTGGGTATTTGATCAGCAGCCCCTTGAGATGCTTTGCTTGCTCAGAAATGGCATTGGGCAACTGAGGAAAATCATCCCCTCCTGAGGTTTCCCTTCCCTTCTGCACAAAACCAAAGAACCAGCTGTGAAACTGATGTTTTTGTGGGTGGGTCTTGCATGTTTTGGGGAAGACTGGAAAGATGAGACCCCATTCCCGTGGCTGTGGGGGTGCATACCTGTCGTGTATCCCTGCCCTATGACTGCACAGAATGGAGGCTGTCACTGGGGGTGGGATGCTTCCTGTCCCCTGGCATTGCAGTCGCAGGGTTTTTGGGAAGGTGTTCCTTGCCTCTGCATATTTTGGATGACCCCTGGCAGCCCTGGCTCTGTCACCCCCTCCCCACCCCCAGATGTCAGCGGCACGCTGTGCTGGGAGGGAAGGCAGTGAGCAAACACGAGTGAGCTCCATAAACGCGGAGCCGTTGCCCTTCCCTGCTGATGGTGCGATAAGCCGGGCACAGGTAGCTTAGCAACCGGATAAGGAAGGGACAGAGGATGGCTCTGCTGGCAGGGAGCCACCCGCGGGGTTTCTGATGGGAGCAGGACAGGGGCTGCACCAGGATTTGGGACCAGGGGCTGAAACCTGCTCCTTATCGGTGCTACAGAGAGGAAAGGTAAAAGCTGGAGCTGTAGCTTGGAGCAGAAGGGTATGGATACAGGGGGCTGGGTTCCAAACCAGCCTTCCCCGGGCAGAGCAATAAAGGGACGTGGTGTAATTGTTCTTTTTCTCCATTGTGACTCTGTGGGAGGATGGCCCCCGGCTTCTCCCAGCACCAGCGGGAGGCTTGGCCAGGCTGAGGTCTGGCACCCAGAGCCCACTCCTCTGCCTGTGTCAGAGGGCAAACCCTCTGCCTGGAGCAGCCCCTGCCCTCCATCCTGCTCCAATCCATCCTTCACACCCCAGGACATTGGCCGGCCTGCTGGTTTTGTCAGGATGGCATGTTAATGCTTTCATGTGCTCTCATTCTTTAGAAACATATTCTTCTCGTTAGGGAAATGAAATTATTTTGTTTTCTTCTGCTGGTTCTCAACTGCCAAAAAGTTGGGATTTTAATTTTTGGGAGTTTTTTTGCCAGCAGGAAACCAAGCAGATGCATTGGAGGGAAAGAAACCAGCAAGGGAAATTGGGAGAATCTGAACCCTCTTTGCTCTAAAATCTTCCTTTTTAAAGAATCATGGAATGGTTTGGGTGGGAAGGGACCTTAAATCCCATCCAGTTCTACCTTCTGCCATGGGCAGGGACACCTTCCACTGTCCCAGGCTGCTCCAAGCCCCATCCAGCCTGGCCTTGGGCACTTCCAGGGATCCAGGGGCAGCCACAGCTGCTCTGGGCACCCTGTGCCAGGGCCTGCCCACCCTCCCAGGGAAGAATTATTCCTTAATGAAAGGTATAATTTCCACCTAGCAGAAGGCGCAGGGCACAGCCCTGGGCGGGCGGGCAGGGCTGGGAATGTTGTATTCCACACGGGTCTTTTGCTGTGCCGGCAAAGCCGATTTCCAGCCTGCCCGGGCGTGCTTCGGGGCTGTGCGGATGGAGCACACGTGGGGGTCGTCCTTGCCCTACAGAATGTGAGGGGGGGTCGTTGCTGGCCGATCCTTTCCCTCCCCCTGGCAGAGGAGCGAGCCTGCGGAGCGAGCGCTGCCTTTGGAGATCCAGCAGCGTTACTGATTAACCGCGGCGCTCCGCTCCTTTCCCCCTTCCCCCTGCCTCTCCTCGCAGCCTGCTGGAGCATTTCTGCCTCAGAAAACGCACACCAAACAGCCGGCTTGCCCAGCGGCGACTTACCATGCCCGCGGCTGCCGGTGCCCTCCGTGCCGTGCCGTGCCGTGCCGGATCCCGCCGGGCCGCGGCTGCTCCGGGACGGCGGGAGGCGTGGCGGGGCCAGCGGGTCCACCCCCGGCCAGCCGAGCCTTTCCCGCGCCGGCCGCCTGCCTCTGGGGCTCGGGGGGGCCGGACAGGGGCTCCTGGGAGCCCTGCACGACGGAGGTGTGATAGGTGATATGTATAAATTCGTGCCGAGACTACGGTGATTTCACCTGATAAAATCCTAGCACACCAAAAGAGAATTCCGGGAAAGCCCCTCTGATGAGATTACAGCAATGCGCACCAAAATCCTAGCCTGAATATTTGTCCTCGGAAATGTATATTCCAGGGGATTGCTCTCATTTGACAGGAGGCATTTTGATAAGCATCACCAGCAACCACAAACTGAGTGATGGAAATTCAAATACACTACCTCCAGAGACTATATTCCAATGTATATTCCAAAGAATTTTCCGTCTGACCAGACTCCAGCACGAGGCATATTGATAGGCGTCATCAGTCTTTCCCGGAAAGTCTTTTTCTGACAGGATTCCAGCATTATCCACTGGTTTATTGGTTAAACGAAAAACTGTATAAAACGGACCTTTTGAGGAATACTCTTCGGAGACCCACGGGCACTTTGGTGGAAGGGACCAAATCCTAAATCTCCCCGACTCTGATCGCCCGGCTCAGAGTTGATTTTAGATTGCGGCTTTTTCCAAATTTATATTTTGGTAATTTAATAAATTTCTTTAATTATTGAGTTGGAGTATTCATTTATAACAATGGGCTTTGCCCCCGAGCTGCACAGCCCTCTCCTGCGGGTCGCTCCCTTCGCCTGGGGCACAAGGATGAGGCGGAGCGGGATGGAGGGGGCATGTGGTACAGGGGTAATGCCAAGGCAAATGGCGTGTCTGTATATTAGGAGAAGCTTAACAGGATTATAGTTGTGAAAAATGGGTGTTTATGATTGGCTTTCCCCAAATATTAAAACGAGTGTTATATGTGCTATGTTAGAAAGTTATGCTATATTAATTTTCTTAAGTAGTGTGTTAAATATAGTTTTAGGTTATAATGTTAAAATAGAAACTATGCTGTGTAAGATACTTTTTTTAAAGAGAGGACTTGCACCAAGATAGCAGCCACAGGACGCCTAAATCTTTCAGAGAAAAAGAATTTATTGCTTTCTTACCGAGTTCTTCCCACCTCGCTCAGCCCTGAAAACTGCCCATCAGGATTCAGAGGAAGAAGTTGACAGCGACCAGAGAGGATCCTTTGTTTGAATGGCATTTATGCATCATGTATGAGGTGTATGAATATGCAACAGGCTATTGCTTTTAAGGGTTAATCCTCTGCTAACGTGTGTCCTTTTTCGGGCTTATTTTGCCCAGAAAGAGGTACCGGTACTGGACTGTCCACAACTCTTTGTTTCTTATTGTCTCGTATTCTCCTAAATCCTAATTGTCCAAATTTTTATTACTCTAATGATATTATTATTTTATACCCATTTTATTACTATTAAACTTTTAAAATTTTAAAAGCAAGTGAGTGGCGTTTTTCACACAGTTCTGTTTTACCCCACTTTGTGCTGTTATCAGGGGCTGGCCTGGGTTTGGGACATTTGGGAGGACATTTGGTTTGTTATTATGGCAACAGCTGCCCTCCAATCAAGATTTAAGGAAGTGAAACCATCACTGGACAGCGAAGGAGTCCAAGGACAGAACTTTGGGAGGGAATGAAAGGTTAAAGGGTGAAACCTGCATTGTGTGGGTGAGCACGTGGTGGGAAAAATCCTCTGCTCCCAGCACTGTAATATTTTCTCTCTTCAGTCTCCTGTTGCGTTTTTGATAAGGTTTTAATAAACCTTTAAGATCTGTAAAAGTGAGTATCGTTTCTCACAGGGCAGCGGCAGCCGGCACCGCTGGATGCTGCTGGCAGCACCTGTGAGGAGGGTGGTGGTGCTCCCGGCTGAGCGTGCCCGTAGCTCAGAGCACTGATAATCACCGATAATCACTGATAATCACCGATAATCACCGATGACCATTGATAATCACTGATAATCACCGATAATCACTGATAACCACTGATAATCACTGATAATCAATGATAACCAGCGATAATCAATGATAACCATTGATAATCACTGATTTCCACCAATAACCATAGATAACCATCAATAATCATTGATAACCATCGATAACCACCGATAACCATAAATAATCATTGATAACCACTGATATCCATCAATAATCATCAATAACCATTGATAACCACTGATAAGCATCAATAATCATCGATAATCACCGATAACCAGCGATAATCACTGATAATCACCGATAACCATTGATACTCACTGATAACCACCCATAACCATCGATAATCACTGATTTCCACCAATAATCATTGATAATCACCGATAACCATCAATAATCACTGATAATCACCGATAACCAGCGATAACCACCAATAACCATCGATAATCACTGATAATCACCAATAATCACCAATAATCAGCAGCTGTGCTGGCTGGAACCGCCCGGTTATACCGACTGAGAGCCCTGCAAATAGGGCGGAAGAAGGAGAAGTGTCCCACACAACATTTCAGAAGTGTCCCACACAACATTTCCCAGCATTTTTAAGGCATTTTCTGCCATTCATGTGTTCACAGATGCTCAGTGCTGCTCCCTGGCCTTTTTCCTCTCCAGGCCAGATGGATTTGTGCCCATGTCCTGCAGCTCGTGGTCTGCTCAACTCACTCACATGATGGGCAGTTTTCCAGTGCTGACCATTTTTTATTGTGCTGGTGTATGTGGCAGACAGAAATTCAGCCCCCTGCTATTCCCTCAAGGCTTTCTTCACCTCTGAAGCAACTAATTCCAGATTATTATTTTTTTTTTTAGTATTACAGGATGATATACATCCCTTGTATATACTCTTGTGCACATTTTGTTTTCTACTGTAATGGATTGTGGGTACTGCAGGGATGATTTGTTTTTCCGGCAGGCAAGTTAGAGGGAAGCAAATACTTCCTTTCTTTTAATTTTTTTTTAAATTATTTTTTCTCCCTCTGCAGGTTTGTTTGCCAGGGTAATAAAAAAGAAAAATTACCATCTTTTGTGTCCTGGGAGATCCTGAGTGTCTGTCCAGGGAGGAAAGACTTGGAGTGCAATGAAGCACCTCAGAAGAAAATAATTGTGTGCAGATTCGGGGCTGGAAGCTTTGCTGTGCATGGCAAGAGGAGCTGTGCTCTGAGGTTTCCAGCAATGAAATCAGGAGGTGGGGCTGCTTGTAGGGCAGGGAAAGGGCAGCAGAATATTTTCTTGGCCTAAGCTGGAAGTGCAGGATTGGCAGTTCCACCACAGCCCAGCAGAAGAGCCCTGTAAATAAGTCTGAGCAGGTGAACTGAGGGCAGCTGGGCGGGTGGCAGTGCCTCTGTTGGCCTTGCCATTGATCAGGAGATGGGCAGGAAGCAAATCCCTCATGTTACCTGGCTTTCCCTTCACTGGATTTTCCTCCAGCCTGCCTGGGAACTGATCCTATATCTCTTGGCAATGTGTGTGCTGCCAGTGCAGAGTGACTGATGGCCACCTCAGCTCCCTAGGGATGGGGAACACCAGGAGAAACAGGATTCCTTGCCCTGTCTTTTGACTGCTCCGCTCCTTTGTACTGGCATTTTCTCTCCTGGGTGGTAAATCCAGCCTTAAGTGACAAGTTCATGGCAGGGGTCTCTTGCAGAGGGTCCTAAAAAACAACAACAGGGCAGCTGAGGTTTTCCTCTCTCTACAGTGTGGAATTGTGTCCAGGGGAATCCTTTGGCTGACTCCAACTCCTGCACCTCTAAGTTCCCCTTCTGCACAGTTTTAATTTCCCTTTCTGAAATGGGATCCTTTAGGTTTGTTTTTAATGATTAATTGAGGGGTGTTGGGCAAGGTGTTTGCTCAGAGCAGTTTGCACCCTGTGCAAGGGGCGAACCTGTTTACTGGGAACAGATTTGTGCTCTTTTTCCCTCTCTTTTTTTTCTGTTTTACAGCTGTGCTGCTTTTGGTGGCAGCTAAACCCACATGTGTACAGGACTCTGCATATTTGGAGAGAGATCTCATATCACTCACTACTGAAATTCTTATTTTGTCAATAACTTTTTAACAAAACATGTCTGACCCTGAAAGCTGCTTTGCTTGGGAGCAGTGTTCTGTCTCCCATCCCAAAATTTGGTTTTGCAGGGGTAGATGGGATATTGGGAAGAAATTGGGAGGCCCTGGCACAGGTTGCCCAGAGAAGCTGAGACCCAAAGGGTGTTTTAAACCAGGGTGGGCCAAACTCTTTCATCATCTGCAATCTGAAACATTGCTCTCATGGCAAAATAGATTTAATTAAAGGGTTTCTTTAGCACTGGAGGGGATTTATGGCAGGTGTGACAAGTTTAAGTTGACAAAAGGGCCCAATAAACAGAAATGAATCATTAATTAATTGTGTGCGAGATTTCCTCTTGTAGCAGAGTTTTATCAAAATCAGTGAGGCTCTCAGAGCAATGAACAAAATAAATTGGAGGCTGGCAGAAACTGGGGCTTTGTTCTGCTCACACTGTGTGTCAGGCTAAGGTCTTTTGTCTCAGGCAGAGCATTCTGCATGGAAAATAAGACGGAAAAAACAGCAATAAAATGGCATAACCACTTCTAATATGTCGAACACATGAATCCCAAAATGAGAGGTGACTGCTTTCAGAAATATCAGAGCATATAGGAGTGAACAGTGTTTCACTGAAGGGAGGTCTTGGTTGGATATTAGGAAAAAGTTTTTTACAGGAAGGGTGACAAAGAACTGGAATGGTCTGCCCGGGGAGCTGGTGGAGTCACCATCCCTGGAAGTGTTTAAAACAGACTGGATGTGGCACTGGGTGCCAGGGTTTAGTTGAGGTGTTAAGGCTGGGTTGGACTCAGTCTTGGAGGGCTCTTGCAACCCAACCCAGTGATTCTGTAAATTCTGTGACAAAGCTGAGTTTTGCTACAGTTTACAAGTGGCTTTGGATAAATTGCTTAACCATCCTCAGCTCC